TTCCGTCTTGTCCAAAATCAATTTGGAAAAACTATCAAAAGAATTAGGTTTGATAATGGTACTAAATATGTGAATGATGAATTTTTCAATTTTTTTGTCTCATAATGATATTGTTCATGAACTAACATGTATAAACCCCCCCTCAACAAAATGGGGTGGTAGAAAGAAAGAATCGTCATCTTCTTGAAATAACTAGAACTCTTCTTTTCAAATGTCTATTTCAAAAATTTATTAGGAAGAGGCTGTGTTAACTGTCACGTATCTTAAATGGCATTAGTCTTATAGAGTCTCTATGGTCTTTTGTTCCTTCTTCTCCCCTAATAACAAGTCTACCTAGTCAAGTCTTTGGATGTATTATTTTTTGTTCACTCTCATCATTTTAATCGTAGTAAATTAAATCCCAAAGCTCTTAAATGTGTCTTTATTGGGTATCGTTCTAATAAAAAAAGGTACAAATGTTATCATCTCAGAGTTGTTGCGTCTTTATCGCTATGGATGTCATATTTCATGAAACATAATCATTTTGTGTTGTTCACCACTTCAAGAGGAGAAAACACTTGAAGTGGATTAACTCTCCTTCTTGTCATTACTATGTTTGTCTTTGCAGGATGCCCAAGATCTGAGCAATTAAGCTACCATAGTCCACAGTGAGGAAGAAGAGGAAGAAGACATTTTTTTGACAAAAAATATGAAAGAAGAAAATAACCACTTCGACTCTCGAGCAAGAAAATTTGTCTAATTCAGAGGTGAGAGTCTCTGAAAATATCAGTGAGGAGGTAAGTATTACTGAGGATTTACCCATTGCATTGAGAAAGGAAAGAAGATCATGTGCTAAATATTTTATTTCTCAATATGTTTGCACTAACAATCTCTCTAATAAGCACCAAATCTTTATTGCTACCATTGATGCCATAGAAATTCCTACCTTAATCCAAGAGGCCATGAAACCTTAACATTGGAATCAAGCCATGGAAGAAGAGATGAATGCATTAGAAAGAAATTCAACTTGGGATATTGTAGATAAGCCAAGAGACAATAAGGCAAAAATAAGAAGGCAGAAGAGTGTAGATGTATATTCACAATGAAACATAAAGCATATGGGACAAAGAAAGGTATAAAGCTAGATTGTGGCAAAAGGATATAACCAAACTTATAGGATTGACTACAAGGAGACATTTACCCTAATGGCAAAGATGAATACAGTTCGAGTTGTTCTTGCTTTGGTTGCTCATTTTGGATGAGACTTACACCATTTGGATGTGAAGAATGACTTTCTTCATGGAAATCTAGAAAAGGAAGTGTACATGGAGATTCCCCAAGGTTTTGAAGTGAAAAATGAAAGAAATAAGATATGCCTCATAAAGAAAGCATTATATGGTCTTAATCAATCTCATAGAGCATGGTTTGAAAGATATATCAAAGCAATGGTTTCCTTGGAATGCAAACAAAGCCAATGAGATCATACTCTATTTATAAAACACTCTTTTACAGGTAAACTCACTTTATTGCTTGTTTACATGGATGCTATGATTATTGCAAGAGATGATGAAATTGAAAAATTGGCGTTACAAGAAAAATTGGCAACTCAATTTGAAATGACAGACCTAAAAAAACTCAAATATTTTATTGGAATAAAGGTTGCTTACTCCATGAATGAAATTTTTATCTCCTGAAGGAAATATGTACTTGATCTCCTCAAAGAAACAGAAAAGTTGGGATGTAGAACCTCAACAGTTCCTATAGAACAGAACAAAAAAATTGAAAGTGATGAAAGTGCTCTTGTACAGAAGGCCCAATATGAGAGATTGGTAGAAAAATTGATTTATCTTATGCAGTTAGTATAGTGAGCTAATTTATGCATGACCCAAGAAAAACACATACAAGTAGTTGGCAATAATAATAACAAGAATTGTAGGATATACTTTAATTAATTAACTCTTAACACACACTAAGTTTTTTTCTTCATATAATTTATTACATAAACTACATTATGTAGGGTTGGTTTATATAACTTGTTATTTTTTTTTCTTTTGTAATATATGGATGATTGAAAAGCACCGAATATTGCCTAGTTTATTTTCTTTCGAAGAGTTTGCATACCAAGACACTTTATATATCTTGTAAGTGTATAAAAATGATAGTGAGCCTCACAAGTATGATGCTACGAGTCTCATGTAGACTTTTTGTGCATGTTTCAATTCAAACTCTTCTCAATTTCCCCTTGCGTGTGCGATGAAGAGGTCTAAGCCATTTGCTTTATTTTTTTTTTCTATCTTTTATTAATAATATCAATCCTTTTATTAATGTAAATCTTTATCTGTTTTTCTATTGGGCTATCTTGGTTCCATGTGGGATCTTGTCCTCCACATCTCACTTGTTGGACACGGTAATGTTAGGGCGTGGTACGTTCTATGTTATCTTTGCACACATTACTTCATTCTCTTATGTAACGTTCACCCTTAGTTGGTGCCAGATACATGTCCGTAGTAGGAATGTGTAAGTGTCTAGATCATGTTTGCTTTCTCAAGTAGTTTGAAGTTATGTGATTATTGAAATACCGTTCATGAAGTTTATTGTTGTACCATAAATACTTACATAACATATTGCAGACAAGTCTCATCAATGCCCAAGAAAATAATTGTTTTCACTACAAAATTTTTTAAATTAACCAACAAAAAAGTAAAAGGAATATATTCCAAATTGTGCATAATTTGTATTTATACTTATTATTTTGAATTACAAATTCGAACTTACCTCGATAGAAATATAATTTGCTTCATTGAAAAAGACAAATTCAAATTACATAAGAAGAACATGTGTTGGGAACTACTATATCCAGATGTCATTAAGTATGACAACGGTTGAGGATAGTATCTACATGCTATCTGATCCGAAAAAAAAATCTATCAACTACATGCACGGATACTCGTTTAAAAACTATCTGTGAATATTTTAAAACTTTCAGATATATGCAAGTGCCCATAAATATTTAAAAATAATATATTTTTATAAATTATTAAAATAAAATTATAAGAAAATGTATAAAATATAATATAAATTAAAATTTAATTTTAATTAAATTTAATCTTATAAAATATAAATTATATTAATTTTAATTAAATTTAACTTAATATAATATAAATTAAATTTTTATTTTTATTTTTTGTGGGTAGTGTATATTTGCGGGTACGAATAGGATAATACCCGCACCTGTTTATAAGCGGATATTAATCCACTACCCACAACCTACATGTAGTAAATATCCATGTGTACCAACTATTTTTTGTGGGTTTTATCTACAAGTAATGTGGACGCGAATTTTTTTGCCATCCCTTAACGTCATATACATTTTCTTTTACTTCTAAACTAATTGATCTATACATATTTACAAATTATATAATTCAAAAACTTTCCCAACTAATTAATCATACTTTATGACATTTTCCATAGTGTAAGAAGAAGGCGATGAGAAAGAAAAATCATAATTTTAGAATATATTCCTAAAGAGAACTATGTTATAAAAAGTGAAACACATGAAAATATTGTAAAACACTATAAAAGGAGTTTGAATAGTGTTTTAAAACTTTTTCGTAATACAAAGTTTTTTAATAACTTTTGTAGGGGTTAGATGCTCTACAATAGTTGTTAGACACTTATGTGTTTAACAAAACGTTTGGGAAAACATTTATAAAGCAAAACAATAACATATTTATTTTTATACTCGTTCCTTCCAACTTGAGTTACTTCCACTTCTCCCTTAAGATCTCTTAAGAAATTCTACTAATCTTTAAAAAAGATTACACAAGTTTCATCACTCTTGATTTATAATGAGTATTAAACACTTTTGGTGTCAATAGTAGTCAACTGACCATTGTTTAACTCAACTGAGCTAAACATCAAGTGTTTTAATTTAATTCTGAATTTACAAGATAACCAAAACAGTTTTTCAAACAAGATACATATTTGATAACTCTTAAAGAGAGAATACATTTTCAATAAAAAGCAAACTTGAAGCACTTGTAAAGATTTTCTCTTTAAACGAAAGTGTTAGACAATGTAGAGAAAGTGAGATAGTGTAACAACAAGCTTGTTCATATGCAAATATTCTTCTTGTTTTCTCTTCATGAAATCATCTATATCGATGCAGAGCTATTGTGCTTTATCATAGTTTTGGAAAAAGTAGGTTGTACAATTCTATAGAGTTTGAAGGTTTAAGTAAAATTTCCAAAAAAATTTTCTATCTCTTACCATCTTTATCGATCTTATATACGAATTTAAGTAAACTCTTATACTTTCATGACTTGACATATAAAAGAAGAAACAAAACATATAAGCAAAAAATACATGCAATAAATGTTTTAAATGTTGGCAAATATTGCGTGTTTAAAACATTTTCACACATGTCAACTCTTTGATATAGAAACATAGTTTAGGAAACAAAACATTTAATATATAATTTTTAGACAATGTAAAATGTTAAAAGTTTATTATATAAAACTGTTTGTAAGTTATATTGTTTAGGAAATTTTTTCTAGACGATTTTGTTCTTTTAAATTTCAACATCGTTTAGATATGAAGTTTTAAACTTCAGGTTTGTTTAAGCATACATTTTCTTTTGTTAAAAGCTGTTTGTTTAAAATTGTCTTTTAATTGAAAAGGCTATTTTTATAAAATGTTATTTAAAAGACAATTTATTTATAAATGTTTATTTGATTTATTTATTAAACTTTAAAATAGGAAGATCTCTGTATGTTTTTGTTTTAACAAATGTGTTAACAAATTGGTATGAAAAAAAGTGGTTGGTTTTTGATAAATAATTTGTATGTGATGTTTTTTAACCTCTTTGGGGTTTATTATTAAAAAATAAATAAATTCATGTGATAGTTTTATAATTAAAAAGCTGAAAATAGAAATAAAATTTCAAGAAAACTCCTCTATAATTTTTTCTCTCTCATATTTTTATATTTTTATATATAATAATAGTTGTTGAAAAAATAAATGGCAAGACGAAAACAATGGATAAGTGCAAGGCAAATTTCATTGTCATCTTGAATAGATTCTACTAGAATAAAGAATCCATTGTTTAATCCAAATTTTATTTAGTTTTCAACGGTGGTGGAGAAGAGCAATGTTGAAGAAGATGTTGCGGAGTTCCTGTTCCAGAGGAGGATTAGGAAACAATAGGAAGGAGATGATAGTGGCAGTGATATTTTTTTGCGTTTGCTTAGTAACAATCGAGTATGGAGTAAGAGTGACGGAGGCAGAAGAGTATTTCAAACCGTTCAATGTCACCTACGACCACCGCGCTCTCATCCTCGACGGCAAACGCCGCATCCTCATTTCCGCCGGAATCCACTATCCTCGCGCCACTCCCGAGGTCTTAATTCCTCATCTTAATTTAACTCTTCGCCATGGATGAACTGTAATATAACAGTAAGATGAAACCGCAACTTAACTGAATCATTGAAGTTTCCTCTCTCCTTTGTTGTCTAACTTTCTCTCTCTGTTTATTTGAGTTCTGTTAGAGCTTGTTTGCTCTGTTTGATTTTTTGCTATTGTTTCATTGCCTCCATCAACCTAGATCGTTCTCAAAAGTCAATTTAGAAACTAATGCTGTTTTTTTTCTCAGCATCTTGAATGAGCTTTTGAAAAAAAAAAAAAACAAGAATTCGATCATCATGAACATCCGAGATTTTGCATTTCGGCATTTTCAGCACAAGTGAGCTTGTGTTTTGAATTTCATATTTGTCTGCATAGAAAATTGAAAATTCTTCTGAAACTAAATCGACAAATTAATCACAATTCTTTTATCAGTCTCATTTAACCATAATAGGATATGGAAGTGTCTTATTGTGCATTTGGTATGATGTTAGATGTGGCCTGACTTGATTGCAAAGAGCAAGGAAGGTGGAGCCGATGTGATTGAAACTTATGTTTTCTGGAATGGGCATGAGCCAGTGAGAGGACAGGTGGAAAATTATATTTCTCCCCGCTTTCCGGGCAGTGACCTTGTCTTGTATCTTCAACTATGTATTTGATATTTTTTTATTAATACTAAAATATCAATTCCCTTTTCATTTAATGTGCTTGCACATATGCAGTATAATTTTGAAGGGAGATATGATCTTGTGAAGTTTGTGAAGTTAGCAGCAGCTCATGGACTCTATTTCTTTCTCCGTATAGGCCCTTATGCGTGCGCCGAGTGGAACTTTGGGTCTCAGCCTTTTTCAAATATTATCGTTTAGCATTTTTTTTTTGTTTCTTAAATTTGATGTTTCCATATAGAAAAACAAGAGATTGCATGATGATAGTTAATTAATTACACTTCTAAACAGGAAAAATCCTCAATTAACTTTTATGCCATGCTTTACAATTTTTTCATCTTTTCTCGTTGAAAGTCCTTGTAGTAATGGTTTGGAGTGAGAAACAGTTTTCATTTAATCATTTACGTTTTATGCGAGGCAAAGCACTAAAATGGTGCAGTTTTATTTGGAAATTACTGATCTGGTTACCTTTTGTAAAAAAATAGGTAAATTGGTAAGTTGTGCTTTTAAGTAGACCTTCGATCCTTTTGTTTTTGTTTATTTATTTTAATACTAAACTTGTGCTTTGAAACAAGATTTTAGTATTTTTTTAATATAGAAATTGTGCTTTGAAACAAGATTTTAGTATTTTTTTAATATAGAAATTGTGCTTTGAAACTTAATTTTAATATTTTTTTAATGTAGAAGTTGTGCTTTAAATTATGATTTTAGGTCTTTTTAAGGTGAAGTTATGTTTACAAGCATGATTTTTAGTGCAAATTAAATTACTCAAAAAAGAAAATCCAGAGTGAGGATAGTTTCTGCTTCGCACAAAGGAAATAAACACAAACTTGTACAATGCTGGTATTATAATTGGTACTTGATGGGAAAATAAGTTAAGTTTTTGTTTGTGATCAATACATGCTGATCTTGCCTGTTTCTCTATTTGGATATTGCCTGTTTTATATCACCACTGTCTTGATTTTTTTTTTTATCATCATCATCACTGTTTTGATGCTACCCATCTGTTATGTATTGAAACCTGTGTGTAGTTGGAAAAATATGCATAGGGATTTCAGATTTTACGTCCCTGCTACACTCATAGATTCACCTGCTTCTTTTGATTTTGCTTGTGTTTTAGTTGTTTTCCTTTTGGTTTTTTTGCTCTTTTGGGTATATTACCTCACCTCTTGTTTGCTTATTTCTCTTCAGCAAAGCTTATTTCTCTCTTTAAAAGTAGATAAGTATTTGACAGCTTGTTGGTTGATTCATGAGCTATGTCTTTGCAGGGGTTTCCCAGTGTGGTTGCGTGATATCCCTGGTATTGAATTTCGAACAAACAATGAACCTTTCAAGGTGGACTGCTTTGTTGGTTGACATTAGTCTCTTTTTCTGTTTGTTTGTAAACAGACTTTTTTCATTTGTTTCTTGTTCTCCTTTTTTCATGTGTGATTTTATTCGGTTTTTTCAGCATTCTCAGATATGAACTGTGATTGACTTAACAACCATCTGTTCTTTATTGGGAAAAACTCAAATCTCACATGGGCTAGAATATTTAAGTAGGGTTTAGCTCTAAACCCATATTCCACGATTCTGGAGTTAGCCCAAACTCCTCTTAGTGTGTGCACACGTTTTTATATCCTGTAATGCACCTCAATGTTTGAATCTAGGGGTGGGATTTTTGTGAACTCCTAAAATCATGGAATAAATGTCAATGTAATTGGAAAGGATTGTGTAACATGATTTTGATAGACTTTTTTTCGAAACCTAGGAGGAGATGAAGCGCTTTGTCTCCAAGATGGTGAATATGATGAGAGAGGAAATGCTGTTTTCTTGGCAAGGTGGTCCTATAATTTTGTTGCAGGTGGGAAAAATGTAGATTTTGGTCATTATATACATCACTTGATTTTATTTTTCATAGTCTTGCTAATGAAAAAATTGGCGATGAAATTACAACTGTCTCTATATTATTGTTTTAACTCATTGCATTTGTGTTTCTGTTGGATCCCAGATACTTGATAAACCTGAAGGCATTAAATAACTGACAAATTAGTTTTTTTATATTTGTTACTATTAGTTGAAAATCTTCTATTTTCTGTTATAGATTATTGAGGAAATGTATTCTTTTATACAGTGCCCTGGTGAAACCAGGTAGGGGATTATAAAATTGAGTATGTGTAAAATGGAGTTTGGTGTATAAAAGGAGAGTGCTCTTTTGGGGGTAAACTCGTTTACCTTGGCATTTTGTATTGTTGGATACTTGAGAAATAGAGGTATTTCAGTGTATTTTTTCTAAGAACAGGGAGGAGCTTTTGTTTTCAAGCAATAGTTTTGTAATTCAAGAAAGGAAGTCCTAACAGTTTCTCTGCTAGGTAGGTTTTATTTTTAGTAGGAGTGAACTGCTTTTAGATTATTGATAACTGAATTCAACACTTTTCCTATTTTTGTCTTCTAATTTTTTCCATGTCTATCTAGGTGATGTTATATAATACAGGTATCCAATATATAGAAATTGTATGCGATATTTTAGTTGTTGATGCTTGTTATGTGGTCCTTTTTCTGTATTGATGTATTCTGATTATCGTATCCAATTTTTAAATTACTCAGTTCTCAAACTTATGAACACACTTAAATATTTCGTGTTAGATAACTATTGATTATGTTTTATTCTGTTATCTTGGAATTAGCTCATGAAAGTATTAAATATGATTCTTCCCTTTGTAGAAGGCAATCTTTAACTAAGCATGTGACTGGAATTTCAGATTGAGAATGAATACGGGAACATTGAGAGCTCCTATGGCAAAGGAGGTAAAGAGTATGTTAAATGGGCGGCTAAGATGGCTCTAAGTCTTGGTGCTGGGGTCCCATGGGTCATGTGTAGACAACAGGATGCTCCATATGATATTGTAAATTATATACCTTTCCACAATTGAAAATAACTGTTACTGGCATTTACCTATACTTACTAAAATTAAAATGTGTGCAGGTCTCTCCTATAGATTTTGAAAAAATAACAGAAAGTGTAGTTAAAATATTCTGTGTTTCAAAAAACTAACAATTCAAGTGGTTAATAAATCAATATTGTTGTACACAGATTGATACATGCAATGCATACTACTGTGATGGATTTAAACCAAACTCTCATAACAAACCAACGATTTGGACAGAGAATTGGGATGGATGGTATGAACAAATACATCCTTCGAGGGACTACCTTTTAATATGAGCAATAGGGCTACTATTGTGACATAGCAAGGTGCAATAAAGGCCACCGGTAGCTGCCATAGAAGCTGCTATTCTCTTTCCTGAAACCCTATATTCAACTATATTAATTGGCTCTTTTACTGAAATGGAGTTCTATTGCCCTCAACAAGCAGTGGTCTTTGGCAGCAACTCGTGGCTCAGTTTTTACTTCTCAACATGTTAAATTGTCTACATGGTTCTCTGTACTCTGTATGCATGCTTGTTGTATATGTCTATATCACCTAGGGGTAGGAGAGATTTTAGTTCTTTATATTATATCTCTGATATGCGTACTCAGTTTTTCCAGTCCGATGGTTTTCTTTCAATTTTCTAAACAGAATTATCAACTCTCTTGTCTTCTTTCTTTGCTACAAGCTACTTCCCAATTTTCCACTGTAGCGTTTTAAGGAGGTGACTTCACTGGGCTACATTCGACCATTACCTCCTTTACTTTCTATATGCACTTCTTGCTTGTTCTCTAATTTTGTAAATTATGTGGTTTGGAGAAGTGTCGTAATAATAGGAAAGTATTTACTAATTGGAGTACCTGAAACAAGGACCTAAAGGGTATATGTCTGATTATACTTTTAACGACAATAAATTCAACTTTACCAATCAATACTCGACATTACATAAATTGCTTATAGACCTTTTAGGTTAGCCACTATGTTTTCATTTTGTGCTTCTGTGTGTGTACTTGCATAAACCTTCGTTGAACTTTTGATTGCAAATAGAAGGTAAAAGAAACAATATGTCGAGAGCTGATTCAGTATTTGACTGTGGCTATAAATATTTTGGTTCTCCAACTGATTTTGAAGGTATACACAGTGGGGTGAAAAATTACCTCATAGACCTGTTGAAGACCTTGCTTTTGCAGTTGCACGATTTTTCCAACGTGGCGGAAGCTTTCAAAATTATTACATGGTATACACTATTCGTTTATAGCTTCTTTGTTGTTCTTACCTGCTGGTTGTCTCATGAAGGATTCTTGTCCAATGTTTGTATTGGAGGGCTTTTTATTATGTTGTTGTTCTTTTGGCACATTTTGCTACATATGTTCCATGCTTCTATCTTACTTTTTTCCATTTCTTGTTAATAAATTTGATTTATATTTTGAACATCAAATTGAAACTTTTAGGCAAGAGAATGAACTACCCAAACAACTTTAAAAGTATATGTTAGAAGACATAACAAAAGAGGAGAATATAGGTGTAGGGTAGTTACGTGGTTTTATTAACTCAAAGGTATAAATATGGTTAATAGTAAGTTATTAGGATAAAGGTATCTGATAGGTTGGGTCAAGACAGGTTTGGCATTAAGAGGAGGGATAAAAATAATAACTGAAAAATGATAGTTATAAACCTTCTGTAGATGTTTTTTCTTTTGAGGACCTCTCGAAAGTCCCTCAAGTGTGTGTTCTTCCTTTTTCTACCATATTGGCAGAAAAATTGCCGTTCCTTATGAAGTTTACCAAGAAGTTGTCTTGGAGTTTTTCTGTAATACTAATTGTGTCTTGGAGTTATCTTCATATTGATGAGGAGAAATTATTTTTAAAATCTTTCTATTCATTTTAACATATTTTTACATTCTTATTTTAAAAAATGAAATTATTATAAAGGTGATGTTAGGAATTCAAGTGAGTTTAAGTCTCACATTAAGTAGAAATGAGAAAATTGAGCATTATATAAAGAAGAAAACCCATAAACCCATTCCTAGAAGGTTATGTGGGCTTGGTTCATGTTTCATTTGTACTAAATCTCTCGGGTGAATCCCCTCTAAGACCCAACAGTGGTATCAAAAACAATGATTCGACTTGGTGGCTAGCTTAAACGAGTCAATATGATCCTTTTTGAAAATCTCCTAATAGAGGTTTAGGCGAATGTGTCCTATTTTCTTTGAATGGCAGTACGAGTAAGGGTCACTAGTAAGATACTCATGGTTGTAAATGCTTTCTCTTGAGGGAGATGTACCAATGTGGAAGGTACTTAAACTTGTGGGAGAGTTTGATAGAAATCTAAGCTTGAGTCTTAGTCTCACACTGAGTAAAAATGATAAAGTTAAGCACCATAAAAGAAAGAAGACCCATTCATAAACCTATTGTCTTAAGGTTCTAGTTGCAGATGATGTCAATCCTTATGTGGATTTGACTCATGTGTTATTGGTATTGGATCTTCCTTGTGAATTCCTTCTCACGATGGGTGATAATGCATTTCTTTATTTCTTTAAGTAGTTCAAGTATAATTAACCCTCTATGACTTGTAAGGATTGGTAGCTTTCACATATAAAGAGGATGGAAATGACTTTTTTTTTTTTGTAGGGAGGGACCCCTTGAATGGTTAGCAAGGGAAAAGTTCTTTTAGGTGTAGTAGGTCTAGCCTTAAGCTTAGGTTAACTTTCATTAGTATGGAGGGAGCAACAATTAATTATTTCTAATTCTGGCATAAAATCACATGAACCATTCTTGGGAAGACGTTTTACCAATGTTATTGAGGAGGTTTAGGGAAAATTGTTGACATAGTTATAGAAACTAGATCAGAAACTTAGAAACAAGAAAGAAAATTGAAATACAGAAAATTGAGAATTTCATATAGCATCTTCTCCCTCACACCGGGGCATATACTTCTCGAGCATAGAACTAAACATTAATGGGGGTTCGACAGCAGGTTGAACAATAGACCCAACAAGCAACGAATTTTGCTGGTATATGTTCTAACTCATGACTCTGATACCATATTAAAAACTAAACTTTAAGCTTAACTCATACTCATAAAATCGACTTGTAAGGTGAGGTTTGTAAGTTGAAAATAGGACTGATTTTATTATTCTAAATCATGAAAATACATTTTCATATCCTCTATTTGTAATAATCTAATTTTCCTAAAAAGGAAAATAGGGAAACTAAGTAAACAAAATAAAATAGAAGATTATATATCTATTTTCTCTAATCAGGAAGATTCTAAAGATATCCTCTCTAATTACAACACTGCCTCTCAAGTTGGTAAATGAATATCAATCATTCCCAACTTGCCTACAAGATCTTGAAATCTACCCGGAGGAATTCCTTTTGTAAAAATATTTGTTATTTTAAGTTTTGTAGGAACATGAGTTGTAATCACAAAGCCTCTGTCAAGATTATCTTTGATGAAATGTCTGTCAATCTCAATGTGTTTGGTTCTGTCATGCTGTACTGGATTATGGGCTATGCTCTTGGCAGATTTATTGTCACAGTGTAGTTGCACCGGGTTCTCCACTTTGACTTTAAGATCATCCAAAATAATTTTCATCCAGAGTCCTTCACACATTCCTTGAGCAAGAGCTCGAAATTCAGCTTCTGCACTAGAACGGGATACTCTATCTTGATTTTTGCTTCTCCATGTTACTAGACTATCTCCAAGAAACACACAATACCCAGAAGTCGAATTTTTGTCAGTAATAGAACCTGCATAGTCAGCACCAGTATATATTTTATAGTCAATGTGTGTTCTCTTTTGAATAATAGCCCCTTTCTTGGACTTGACTTGAAGTATTGGAGAATTTTGTCAACTGCTTGCATGTGTGCCTCTCCTGGATCATGCATAAATTGGCTCACTTCACTAACTGCATAAGCAATGTCTGGTCTTGTGTGTGATAGATAAACCAATTTTCCTACCAATCTCTGATATTGGGCCTTCTCTACAGGAGCACTTCCATGAAGAAAGGCATTCTTCACATCCAGCTAGTGTAAGTCCCATCCAAAATGAGCAGCCAAAGCAAGAATAACTTGAACTGTATTCATCTTTGCCACTGGGGCAAATGTCTCCTCATAGTCAATCCCATATGTTTGGTATATCCTTTTGCCACCAATCTAGCTTTATATATTTCTATTGTCCCATCTACCTTATGTTCTACTGTGAATATCACCCTACTGCCTTCTTGTCTCTTGGCTTATCAACAATCTCCCAAGTTGAATTTCTTTCTAATGCATTCATCTCTTCTTTCATGGCTTGATTCTAATGTTCAAGTTTCATGGCCTCCTGGATTGAGGTAGGAATTTCTGTGGCATCAATGGCAGCAATAAAACTTCTGTGCTTATCAAAGAGATTGTTAGTGCAAACATACTGATTAATAGGATATTTAGCACATGATCTTCTTTCCTTTCTCAATGCTTATCAGAGGTAGGAATTTCTTGGCTTCCTTGATGTTTTGTAGACTGTCTTTCACAACATCCCTACCCATTTTTCCCTCTTTCTTTCCTTTCATGACAAATTTCTCACTTCTTTCTGAGCCCTTTCTATGAATCTTGGATTTCTGCAACATTTCTTTTATTTCTTAGATATTTCTTCTCCATTCTGCTATCACCCTTTTCTGTTTGTTGGCTCCCCTCTCCAATGTATTGACTCTTCCTTCCATGCTTCCATCACTTCTTGATCTGGCAGGTCAATCCAATTTGGTAAATTTCTTTAGTATAGAAATCAATCTCTCGGACCAATTTGATAGATTTCTTTAGTATGGAAATCAATCTCTCTTACACTCAGCGCACACACAGAATACTGGACAAAAAGATTGTATATTATTATGGTAATCAAGAATACACTGTACACGTCCAAAACAATCAAGGGAACACTTTCCCTCCATAGGATAACAAGGTCCTATCTGTACACAAAGAATTAACAAAAGGTGACCTTGACTTAAGACCTCCTTGCCTTCTTATAAAGGCCCCCCAACCAACTAACCAACTAACAACTAATTCTTAATTTATTTCCTTCTATCCTACACACATTATATCCTATCAAATGCCTTATTTGGCTCTTGCATTCTATAGGATGCCCTGTTCTTTGTTTTGTTCTTCCATTTATCTGTTTATGGTAACAACTTTTATGAAAATAACCTTAATAATCAATATGGTGATATCTTCTAATAGCTGTTTTTCTTATTATATTTCAAAATTACTTACGATGAGTATATACTGATATAAGGGGTTTATCTATATATGATGTATATTATAGTCTTCGTAGATATGAGTATCAGTAACCCACATCTTGACAAGCTATTTTATGTTACAGTATTTTGGCGGAACAAATTTTGGCCGCACTGCAGGGGGCCCCTTGCAAATTACAAGTTATGATTATGATGCCCCAATTGACGAGTATGGTATGTGGAAGAATAACAATAAGACTGTTTTAGATGGTAGCTAATGAATATATTGCGTATAGCATTAACATAGTTGATGAACCCTGTTTTTCTAGGTCTGTTGCATGAGCCAAAATGGGGTCACTTGAAAGATTTACATGCTGCATTGAAACTTTGTGAGCCTGCCCTGGTTACTGCCGATTCACCAACATATATAAAATTGGGTCCAAAGCAGGAGGTTCGAGCCTAGCATGAAATAAATAAATATTTCATAGAAGTTTAAATCATTATGATTTACTGCATTTAATATTTTATTGGTAGTAGCTACACTTAGAGACCTACCAATATTTTTTAGTAGTAGACAGTGACTCACTAATAGCTTATATCTCTACAAAGTCTTTTGATGCAAGTATTTTCGGGATTTGTTAAAGATATTATTTGAAAAGATAAAACATATTCATGATTTATTTTCACTTTGAAAAAGAGAAAGTCATGTCCAGAAGATACTTAAAAGCCTTGTCATAGTTTACCAAGTCTCTCAAGACGTCTTGTGTTGATGATATTTGTAACAAGCTTCTCTTCTATGATACATATGCTTCAACTTTAGGAAGAGTTTTATAAATGAGTTGATTATGTTAAATATTTGATTTGATTATAATAAATATAGATATGATATGATGTGAAAGGAAAACGACTTGCTAAATGTTTCCCATTATTAGATATTGATTTTGTTTGGTATTATTATATCTCTTCTTTAATATAGATTAGAATACTTGTATGTTGGGATGACAAATGAACCCATTTTTTTATATTGTCCGAACCTGTCCAATTTTGATGGAGAATCCTCACATTGATTGGGCACATGTATAAGTATGCAAAATGTTTGACTTTTTAGATTGAGTATGGAATAGTGATAGGTAGCCTCAATTTCTGTTTCCTTTAGCAATGCTTCGGTGGTTACAACTTTCTTGGTTAGTGTTGGGTCACCCCTGATCATAATCTCTTCCTCCCCTGGCCAAAACTCATAGTCAAGTTTCTCCAATTGATTTTAACCTCCCTTAGTGATGCCAGCCAGGTTACCCCTAAGATCAATCCACACCACCGAGCTCAAACAAATAGAACTTTTCTTTCATCTCTAGACCTTCTAGCATTACTGAATATTGTGGCAGCATACACTCGTGTCCTTCTTAAACCCATCTCCCAAGCAAACTTTATAGGGAGGTGTTTCTTCCACCATCGAACCCAACTCAGCCACCAAATTGGTTGAAATGAAATTCTGGTTGGTTCCGTTATCGATCAACATTAACACGCGTCTCCCTTTCAGCCACCCTTGCAATTTCGTTGTATTGGATTGTGTTAGTCCCCTTGCTGAAAAAACAGAGTTCCATCTGCCTTTGTTTCATTTCTTTCTCCTCTTCCCTTTTGTTAGGATATTTATCCTATTTTATCATCATTATAGTGTGTCAAGGGTTATCCTATTTATCATGATTATATTGTGTCTAGGATTACCCTATTTATCATGATTATATTGTGTCTAGGGTTACCCTATTTATCATGATTATATTGTGTCTAGGGTTACCCTATTTATCATGTACATGTGTATCAATTTATTCTTATAAATAGAAGATTGTGAGAGGGATCAATTAAGCCCTCTAGAATTATTTTACTGATTCAATCTTAAGTTGGTATCAGAGCGGGTCGATCCCGCTCTGGTTTCTGTCTCTATATCTGTCCGGTGCCACAGTTCTTCGTCGCCGCCACCATCCGCCGCTGCCCGCCGCCGGCCACCGTCCACCGCCGGCCACCGTCGTCCGTCGCCGGCCACCGCCCGCCGTTGCCGGCCACCGTCGTCCATCACTATCACAGTTTCCTTTGTCTAAACCCTTAGGGTTTTTCTTGTTCCTCGCTAGTACTATTCGTCTTCTTCAGAAATGGCGTCTGGCAGTACTATTTCCTTCTCCGGAAGTCCATCAATTACCTTCGAGAAGCTAAATGGAAAAAATTATCTATCATGGTCTGCTGCCGTTGAAATGTGGTTCCTTGGCCAAGGGCATTATGACCACCTTGAGTGAGATGGAAGCCATGTGCCTACTGAAAAAGCTTATCAGTGGAAACAAGCAAATTTCCAGTTGTGTGCCTTGTTATGGCAATCAGTGGAACCCAAACTTCTTGTATCTTTGAGGGCTTTCAAAACTTGTCACTCCTTTTGGAAGTATTGAATATAGTGAAGAAGATTAGGAGAAATCTCCCTTATGTGTTTAGCATACTCATAGGGTAGTTTATTTATAATGTAAGATAAGGGTTAAACCCTAAATACAGAATGGGCTAAGCCCAATTAACAGAAACACACAACTTAACATCTAACACTCCCCCTCAAGCTGGAGCATATAAATCATATTTTCCAAGCTTGTTACAAAGATAGTCAATTCTAGGTCCTCGTAAGGACTTGGTGATATCTTCCAGAAGATTGAGTTCCCCTATTGGTCCCTCCCCTGTCCTGTTTGGGATCTGTTGTAGCCTCCTCTACATCCCTGGCTATCTCCATAGCCCTTAGCTATTCTCTGGGGTTGTGGGACCTGATTTGGCTCCTAATATTCCCTTGCTTTCGCATGCCTTTGCTTTTGAAAATATTCATGAAGCTGTTCCAGAATTTAACATGAATGAACGCAAGCTATTAATCAAGATAAAATTGACCAAGAAAGAGTCGATTGAAGCCACTATAGAAGGACATGATGTTGCTTTTCCAACTGTAGTACTCTAGATTTTCATTTCTTGTTGCATGATCGTCTTCTGTGAGAAATCTTATCTGAATATTGGATTTCACAACAAAACATTGAAGTTTATGGGCTTTTAATCACCGGTTCAATTTGTTGCCTCCATTGAAGAAAATGGGAGTGATTTAGTTTCTTAGGATTTGGATGAAACAAAGGAGTAGTGTTGGTGAAGAACACAAGATTTTGAGACAACTCCATTAATGGATCTTTGAAGCTCTGGATACAGTAACAGAAAAGAGGAACAAAAAGAAAGAAGAAGATCTATTGAACATAAAATGTAACAGAATTTTATTGTATTTAAAGTTTGATTACAACAGAAGTGAAGACTACTAACGTATCAAAGTAACATGACAGCTGCTTAAAGTTGACAGTTGTTCTTTACACTAATACATACAAATTCCTTGTATTTCGGTATTGAGAGATTTTGGAGTTATGCAGGACAAAAAGGCAGAAGTAGGATTTTAGCCTGTTAGTATAGATAAAGAATGAATGCATCTTATATATACATAAATATAATTAGAAAATAAGCACAAGATTATTTTCTGTGTGTTGAAGTATAATGTCATTATTTTATTATTAATACTTATCTTAGGGGCTTCCTGCGTTTTTATCTTTCAGAACTACTGTCTTCTATAAATACAGTAGTAAAGTGTATCAGTTTTCTTTAATCAAAATATAGGACTCTTCGTCTTCACCGAACTTCATGTCTGTGGTTCTAGAAATCTCATTGATAACTATGCCTACTATTTCCAAAATTACATTACTGTTATCATTCCCTATATTTGTATTCAATTTTTCTATGCTTCAATAGACGTTCACAAAGAATGTATTTTTACTTAGGGACAATGCTTCTGCATATTTTTCTAGTTAGTTTATTACCGCATGTCTTCACAAGCACATGTAGCCAATCCCACCATGTGCTAAGGTTTGCTTGTTGTATGTAAAATTATATAGGTGATTTTATTTTCTGAGTCGCTTTTGTTCATCAATTTCAGGCACATGTATACCAAGCAGATGTTCACCCTAATGGATTGAATTTGTCTTCCTTTGAATCTCCAAGCATATGCTCAGCATTTCTTGCCAACATTGATGAAAAAAGAGAGGCAACAGTGACATTTCGTGGTCGAAGATACACTATACCACCATGGTCTGTCAGTGTGTTGCCAGATTGCACAAATACAGTTTTCAATACTGCCAAGGTTAGTTTATGCAGGGGAACATTTTGAGTTTGCAAAAGTGTTGGCTTGACATAAATTTGTTTCTCCTCTCTATATTATATATTTGTGAAAGTTATTTTACTAATGGTTTACTTTTGCTTAATGATTTAGAGATATTCACCATTATACATATGTATGTATATGTATATGTATGTATGTATATATGTATGTATGTATATATGTATGTATGCATATATGTATGTGAGAAAGGATAAAGTTAGTAAAAGAAACCTTTTCAAAGTTATATTCATCCTCACCCTTTACTTTCTTAATCTAATTGTCAATACTTGTTGGAACCATTAGATTAAAAAAAAGTTAAAGAGCTTGTAAAGTGAGGTTTGCATCTACACATATACTCTAAATTGGTCTTATCTTTAGTCGATGTGTCGATGTGAGACTTCTAACATACTCCCCTTACGCTGAGGATTATACACTCGTGTGTGGGACTAGGCAAATGGGTGGTCTAATAGCGGGTGGACTTTAACCCATGAGTCTGATACCATGTTAAGAAGTGGACTTTAAGCCTAACCTAACCCTACAAAACCAGCTTGTAAGGTGATATTTTCACCCACACGCACATATATATAT